TACAGAAGCTAGAATTATGAAATCCAGTTATTTATTTCACAATTTCACCATTCCAATGAGAAGTTACCCTAAAACACCTAAGCAGAAGTTCTGGAAAGAATATGCTAGATTTAAGGGGGGGAGCGAGGGTGGGTGGAGAGGATTTAGGGGGATACCTGGACTTCAGTCAAGTATTACCGTTTTCTCTATTTCTTCTAATACTTTTAAACTTCCATGTCAGCTTTCTGTTAGTAAAATGAGGGGACTAACACTCCCCCTCCCCCCACCTTCCCTTCATCTTCGTTAACTAGTATTATGAGTTCTGCAGAAGATGAATGTGGTAGAAACTCAAGAAGATTTTACTGGCCAGTATTCAATCTGTCCCTCCCTATAGCAAATTTAAAATAATGGAAATTTTAGTCCCTGGCCATTAAAAAAAGCAAAAGATAGTCATCATTTACTGACTCTGTCCTCACCATTTTCAGAGCATATGGGGCATGAGACATCTTGTTAAACATATGGTGCTCCAAATGTAATAGTGCTAAATATTTAATATTCCACAATGGTTTACCGTAAATCAAATCGTGAAGAGTTGTAGGCAAACCACCAATTCCCACAGCAGAGGTAAGATCCACTTCAGCTTTCCTAAATTACTTCTTTTCTCTGTTGATTATTTTTCTATCCAAATAACTCATTGGTTTTATTTTCCATTGAGAAAAAAATATACAAGCTGGTTAAAAAGAAAAAAAGCCACTGATAGTCAATTAATGTCTGCTTAAAAGTCCCACATTGGTGTGTGTTTATAACTTTGAGCCCCTTTTTCTAATTATCCAAGGCTCATTTTCTCCATTTCCCCTCAGATCATAATAATGGTCATTCTGCCAATAAAATAAATTGTTATGTGTTTCTAGGTTATAGATTTGCTATTCATGGCTGTATTTCCTCATGCAATTGCCTCACCAAGACCTAGCCAATGTATAATTGTAACAACAACATCAGTCAATAATACAAATAACACATACCACCCACTCAGTATATACCACCTGTTAAGTATTTACATGTCTTAGCTATTTTTCCCATATCAATTCTGCCAGTTTGGATTGTTAAGTTTTAACAATTAAAACACAGAGTAGTCATAATCATACAGTTCAGAGATGGGATTTTTAATTCATATATTTCTGAGTACAAAGCCTATGCAGTTTCATACAGCAACCACGCTACAGCCCATGTGGAAACTAAACTCCTATTTATCCACAAAATCAAGAGGCCATAACATCAGTATAATGCAGGGGAGAAACTCACCTGTTCAGGTAGCCCTCTAAACAATTTGGTAGATTCAAAAGCTAAGACAGGTTTGGATTGGGGTGGCCCCCATTTTTCCCACTAATCTACTTCCCAAGTCAACACTAAAAATGAAACTGGCCAAATCAAAACATGAAGAATAATTAAGCATATCAACCTAAATACTTCTCTTCTTTAACTTAAAATCATTTTAGACATACAGAAAAGTTGCAAAAATAGTACTACAACCTTCACCCATCTCCCTTCAAATGCCAGTATCTTATACAACCAGATACAATGACCAAAATTAAGAAATTAACATTAGCACAATACGATTCGCTAAACTACAGACTTAATCTGGGGTTCACCAGTTTTCCCACTACAATCATCTTTCTGCTCGAGATTAATCAAGGGTCCCACATCACCTTAGTTGTTGCTGGTCTTTAATCTGTAAGAGTTCCCCAGTTTTTCCTTGTCTTCAGCCTTCCCAATAGAGCTAACTAGGAAATATTGGTGCATGTCTAGAGGTGGGTTGCACACAAACACATATACACATGCATATGCAATACAGGTTTGTATATCTGTGTATTTGTTAAACATAAATTCATATGGATATACCTAAATTTTAATTCTAAAGACTTACTAATTAATCCAGTATCTCCCCAGTGAGAAGAAAAGGTTTATTCATTTAGCAAATCAAAACCATAATACCATCTTAAAAAAATAATAAAGATTTATATATTTAAGTGGTTTTCAGCTCTTGTATAGGCCAAAGGTCAGAAAATAATGGACAATTGCCTATCTTTTGGTAAAATAGTTTCACTGGAACACAGCCACATCTACTAATTTAGGTATTGTCTGTGGCTGCATTCCACTATTGTACTGAATCGACTAATTGTGACAGAGATCATGCAGGTCACACATCTGAAAACATTTTCTATCCAGAGCTTTACAGAAGAGGTTTACAGATCCCTGCTCTAAGCTATGTTTCAACATTTCTTTTGGGAGATGGAATGACAAAAATGTGAGTTCAAAACCCATCCTTCCTCCCACAATTATTAACCATGTAGCCTGAGACAAACTAGTAGCCCTCTTTGAACTTTGTTTTCCTCCTTTGTAATTCCTTGGAATTACAGACAATATGCATAAAATTTCTGACACATGAGAGCTGCTCAATGTCTGTGGGCTGGCCACATAGAATTTTGCACAAAAACAATCCAGTTTCAGTAGAACTCTTTTGGTGCAGAAAGACTGAACTATAATACTAGACTCAAATCCTCCACCACTTGCTAGCTGTGGGACTCTGGGTAGGTAGCAATGTCTCTGAGCCCCCTCCACTCCATGCCATAAGAAGCCGTGTCTATGACTATTTTCATGCCACCATCCCCAGTGTGGGCCAGAAGACCAAAGCTGGGAAGACTGCACCCCAGTTAGCATCACGTGCCATGGCCCCCGGGATTTTAATTCAAAAGGTCTGCAACAGGGTCCACAATGAGCATTTTTTTTTTTTTAGATTTATTTATTTGTACATACAGAACTGGGGTACAGGCTAGAGGCTCAGAGGCAGTGAGAGGCTTCACCAGAGACAGAGTGGGGAGCACAACAGGCAGATCTACGAAGTACACTGCTGAGGGGAGCAGCGGGCGGGTCAGGAGAGGTCTGCCACGCCATGTGGTCACCTCCGGGGCAGGCGAGAATAGAACTCATGCGTAAGTGGCTTTAGCATCCCAGTGCAGTGCTTTAACCCTCTGTGCCACCAGGGAGGGCCCACAATGAGCATTTTTAGCAAACACCTAAGAGGTCTTTGGTGCAGGGCTGGTCTGGACACAACTGTTGCTCAGTACTGAACACCACCCAGGTCTCCTCGGTAAACTCATGTCAGGCCTATGGCCTCACCAGTAACCTGTCACTTTCCCCTCGAGCAACTCTTGGCTCATTAAAGAATTCCTGTAGGTCTACAGAAAACTAGAACCTTCAGACTTTTTACTGTGCATTGTATCCTTTTATAGAAAATTGGGCTCTCAGAGCTAAGTAAGATTCTCCATGTTGCAAAAGAAAATCTAACATATTCTTTAAACATCTTCCTTTAAAAAAATATATTCTGTGAGCCTCTTCTTTTATTAATGTTACAGATACAAGTTTGTTTAGGTGAAGTAGATTTCCACTCCCTTATATTCATCTGCCTTGGACAAGCTACTGGGACCTGGGGAGCAGGGATGGGCGGGGGCTGAAGACGGATGACATGAAGGGCAGGTGTACTTTAAGAGTGAAAGAAGAGCTCTTTTTCTTGACACCTGCTTTGTGCCCTGGTGCTGCTGGGAAGGAGACGTGGAAGGAGACATGTGGGGAGACCGCCAGTGGCAGCAGTTATCTTGATGTGGTCTTTCCTTCTGTCCCACTTTCTGAGAGCTGCTTCAGAACAACTCCCTATATTCCCTGCAAGAAGGTGTCAGAATTACGACAAGTTTTCAGGCCTCAGTGGCCTGTTTTGGGGTAGCCCTGTTTGGCTGGGCATTTACTCACAAGAGATGAGTAATTTGGAGTGTTTTAATGGGGGAAAAATGTATTTTTCTTCTCTCTCCCTGTGTACACTAATTTTATTAAAGATCTTTTACCCTATGACTCCAACTTGCCTTTATGCACACAGATAGCCAGATTCCCTTTAAAATAGCATGCAAGTTTGGGGGTTATGGGGTGCCCTCAGTCAAGCACTAACAATAAATTCAAAACAAAGAGCCAGGAATTGGAAAGGGATAAAAGGACAGGAATGACTAAGGACACTGGTGAGAGTAAGAGCAAATTAAGGAAGGCAGAGTGGACCTGTCCCCAGGTCTCTGGCCATCCCCAGCAGAGCCCTCACACACTGACCTGCTTGGCAGCTGTGCAGAAAAGAACCAAAGACAGCAGAAGCTGCAGGACCTCCTTACCCATAGCGGAACCTGGGAACCCACAGAGGAATGGGAAAGCCCAGGGGGCAAGATCTGGGATAGAAGTTCGTTGGGGCTCTGGGATGTGACGGAGGCACATCACGGAGAGTCTGAACACACTGAGGCTGGGGCACCAGCTCAAAAGGCAAGACTCCCCTGCTCAGTCTCACACAACTACCAGTACCTGGAAGGACAGGCAGGCCCAGGAGCAGGAATACAATGGGGGCTGTCAGATTTAGTGACGCTCAAGAGGCAGCTTTCACAGTATCTTAAGTCTTCAACTGTCAAACCCTTTTCATTTGACTGAGGTGAAATTCACATAACACAAAATTAACCATTTTCAGGTGTGCACTTCAATGACACTTAGTACATTTAGAAAATCATGGAACTGCTACTAGATCAAATTCCAAGCATTTTATGATCCCTAACGAAAGCCCCAAGTCCACTCAGCAATCACTCCTCCACTCAACATTCTTATAATGAGGGGTAGGGGATTTTCCCTTTAATGAGATATTATGGGATCACTGCTTGAAGAAATTTAGCAAATTCTGGGCTAAGAACATATTCTCTTCAACTAGGTGGGGCAGCTTTCTGGAAAATTCTAAAGTAGAGTTTTCTTCTCCTAAACCACCCATTCTGTGGGGACAGTGCCAGAGCCTTCTCCCTCATACTGGTACTAGTTGATCAGTTTTTTGTAGCCCGTGACCCTGAGAACAAACATGTGCCACTGGGGCTCTGAGGGGACAAGGATCTTCTTCAGCACCCCATAGCCTGCATCATTTCTCCAGTGGGTCCAGACAGAGGCCAACTCACCCGTTGCTTCTCAGGGTCCACGTAGCGAATGCCGAAGTAATCCTTCTCCAGCAGACTATAGTAGTTGCAGATGTGGTCGATGAGAAACTGCCCTTTGGTCTCCCTCTGCAAAGGAAGCACATTTGTTTCAGCTGCAGCTCACCTTGTCCATTCATGTCTGAAATGGGCCTCATTCGCCTCAAGACTCTATACTTGGAGAAATGGGTTCAGTGACTCCAGTTCCTGTAGCAAGAACTTCTAAACCCTTTCACCACAACCCACAGTGAGAAATACATTCTACAGTCTGAGTCATTACACACAAACACACACACGAAGCCAAAGGAGTACTAAAGGAGCCGTCAAACACCAAACAATACCACACATAGCTACAGTGCACTCTAGTATGTTCTATTTCATTCTATTATCTGCCATTCAATTTTTCTAATGTAATTTTTTTACTCGACACATTGATTTTACAATTGAGTACATAGTAGAGTCTCAAAGTTTGCAAGTCCTCAGATCCCATATACAATACACTGACTCCTCACTCTAATTGCTCTGCAAGTGTTCATTTATTCAGTCCTCACAACAATGCTACAAGAGGAGTCCCTACTTTGTATCCAAGGAAAGTAAGGCACAGTGAGGCTCAATGACTTGCCAAAGTCACAGCTTACTGAGCAAGGTGGGGTGTGGCCCAGGCCACCTGACTGCAGAATCCAGGCTCCCCCTTACCACTTTGTCTCCCTGCTAGAAGGCAGGGCATGATGGTGTTGAATACAATAAATGGTATCAGGCTGAATAGCCCAACTGCCACCAAAAACGGGGGAACCAATTGCCATGTCTCAAAGCCACCAAATCACATACTTAAACCTAAATAGAAAGCTTCTGTGGGAAATTAAGGGGAACCCAGGACTGCAATTCAAAATTAGGCCCATGAACCCTCAGCAAACTCTTCAGCTGTTTCTTTTGTTATGTAGATGAAAACTGGGGTGCAGCCCAGAGGGGGTAGTGAGAGGATTCACCAGAGACAGAGTGGGGAGCAGAACAGACAGATCTACTGAAATCCACTGCTGAGGGGAGCAGCAGGCAAGACAGGAGAGGTCTGCTGTGCCATGTGGGTCAGCTCCCTGGCTGGATTAAACTCATGCTGCAATGGCTGATGACAGCTTCAAAGTGTGGAGTCATTAACCACTGCACCACCAGGGAGAACCCTCCCCAGCTGTTGCTACATCAGCAAAGTGAGTTGGTTAGATTTATTGACTTCTAAGTTTGTTTTTCCTTCTAAACTTCTGAGAGATGTCAGACAAATCTCGTTAAGAAAATACCATTATCCAAAAAAAAAAAAAAAGCCCTCTCATAAAGATATTAATTTCTGCTTCAATCAAAGTCACTTGCACCCATGGAATGTTTTTGGGATGAATGTAACCAATAAAAGTAAATGAGGATATTAGAGATATTAACTGAATTAAAAATAATTTTGGAAGATCAATTTGATCTGTGTTGTATGACTATCTTTTCATCAGAAACTACCGCCATCAGTTTGGGAAGTTGACAAAAATACCACTTGTTGGCTGGGGAAGCACCACATCAAAGGACTGGCGGTTATAAGTACATATTATACTAAGAAGCTTCAATTGTCCTGAAATCATTTTCAAATTCACTTCTGAATGAGCGCTGAGCCTTTATTCCCTTTCCAAGTAAAATCATCTAATATATCTTCAAAGGGGACAAAATATTGAAATGGAATTTGTTTTCAAATCTCAAGTAAAAAGTTCTGTCCAGGGCCCTCCCTGGTGGCGAGGCAGGTTGGAGCGCAGTATTGCAAGCTTGGCCACAGCTGCTTCAGTGAGAGTTCAATTCCCCCACCCCCAGAGGTGATCCACATAGTGCAGCAGACCTCTCTTGTCTTGCCCGCTGCTCCTCTCAGCAGTATACTTTGTCAATCTGCCTATTCTGCTCCCCACTCTCTCTCTCTGGTGAATCCTCTCACCACCTCTGCACCTCTGGCCTGTACCCCAGTTCTGTGTGCATAAATAAACAAAATCTTTAAAAAGAAAGTTCTGTCTGATGCCATCTGAATCCAATGTCCAGAATACAATTGATGGATTCAGTTCTTTTTCCAGATGAGTCTGTAACACATTCACCTATCAGAGGCTGCTGCCAGATCAAATCAACTGAACATAACACATGAATTCATTCCATGACTGAACTGTCAAGCTCTCTGCCATAGGATGCATTATGACAGACTACCCCAGCCATTGGGGAGACACAGGATGTGTGGCGAGGCAATGCTTTGTAAAGACATGGTACTGGACAGAATTTGACTGCACATGGCAACTACAGCCAGCATTTTCCTCAGGACATGTACTCAAAAGTACAACAGTTATTTTTTTTAATGATTAAATACAGCAACCAATGCATACTCACCAGCAATATCTCCTTCTACTTCTTAAGATTCTTGAAAAAAGGAAATACCACTGGTTAGAATAAATTCCAGTGCTACAGAAACAGGAATAGAGGTCTTCCACGAAAATTGGTGAGGCTAGCTGCTAGCTCCCACAGTTCTAAGTGACCAGGTAGGTTCTAGGTCTCTGTTCCAACATGCACCACCAGCAGAATAGCTATCCTACACAAGACACAGCATCCCCAGGAGGAAGCTTGTTGGAGACACAGAATCTCAGGCACTGACCCAGACCTGGTAAACTTCTTCTGCATTTCAGCAGGTTTCCCCAGTTATTTCTATGCTCAGTCAAATTTGAGAAGGACTGGGCTAAGGAATTTCACTGACATGGGAAAAGTACAAAAACTATACCTGTTTCGAGATGCCACTCAGGGGAAAAGCCCATTTATTCCCTTGAGAATTGTCTATTCATCAACTGAGAAAAATCAGTCTTTTCCAACCTCAGAATACAAATTGCCCTTGCATCTGCAGGCTGCCTGCCAGCCTTGTCATCCTGAGACTCTCTGGGTCACTGCTTCCTGCCAAGGAAGCTGTTTACAGCCTCATGTTCTACTCTTTTCCACTCCTGCCTGGAAATCTGGGCAACATTTTTAAGTCATTTAAGTCCCTGGCATTACCATTCTTGTGCACTGAGCCTAGTCCTTGCCCTGAACAAAAGTCCACCCAGGTCCAGTGCCAGGGTTGGAAGGGCTTGTACACATGATCAGATATGTGAAGGACAGAAATCCCCACACATACCGCATAGCAGGGGCAGGATTTGGGGGTAAACTCTAGTTCTGCCCTTGACTTCCACCTCCAGAATGCTAATGAGCTGACCTGAACCTCCACCTGCTTCCTCATGCTCATGGGACATCATGCAAAAAGAGACAATGAATGAAATAAAGACATATATGAAAGCATATTACATAGACTTAAGTCAGGAAAGAGAATTTTAGAAATCAATGATACAAATGTACATATGATCCAAGAAAAGAAGAGAGAAATAAGATTTAGGGGAAAATGAAGAAATTCTAGAAGAAATATCAGACTCCACTAGAAGAGCAAGCATATGGATAATGAATATTCCAGAAGGTAAAGAGGAAGAGAAAGGAGCAGAGATTGTATTCAAAGAAATAACAGCTGTGAACTTCACAAACCAAAGGAAAGAATTGAATGTGGAAGACCAGGAAGTTGAGATACCACCCAACTTTCAAAACACAAAATGACCTTCACCAATGCACATCAATGTTGTTATCAAAAATCAATAGTAAAGAAAAAAATATTAAAGGCTGCTAAAAGGGAAAAAAGGAAAGTAGCAAACAAAGCACCTCCATTAAATTTTCATCAGATTTCTCAACAGAAAGACTCAAGGCTAGAGGAGAGTGAAATGACAAATTTACAATTCTAAATGATAAAAAACTGTGAGCCAAGAATCACTTTATCCTGCAAATTAACATTCAAGAATGATGGGAAAATAAAGGCTTTCCCAGACAAACATAAACTAATGGAATTTACCACCATCAGATTTGTCCTACAAGAAATGTTGAAATGAGCTCTTCAATATAAAAAAGAAACACCAACCCTTGAACTAGATGAAAACAGTAAAAAGAAATCATAAGTAGAAACAAGAATAATCTGAGGCAAAAAAAATATATATATTGAAGGGTAGACAAATGATAGAACCTCTATAGTTACAGGATGATAAGACAATATCAGCATGAAAAGGACTATTTCAGATACAAAAATTTGGATACAAACATCACAGAGACCATAAAACAAAAACCCAAAATAAACACTCTTGGGAGATATGAAGCATCTGAGAAAATCATGAGGGAAAGCCATCCAAATGAAAAAAAAACTGATGGAAAAAGAAACAACATGAAAATGAAACAGTCAAAAATCAAAAGGTAGAATGGCAGAATATACCTCATATATCAATAATCAATCAAAATGTGAAAGGTCTGAATTCACCAATTTTAAGATGCAGTATGACAGCTTGAACAAAAAGGCATATTCCAGCATACATTACAAAAAATTCATCATCAGACAACAGAAAAAAAGACAAAAAGTGAAAGGTTGAAGCAAAGTATTTCAAGCCAAATCATAAATATCAGGAACTGCTATTCTCTATCAGATAAATTAGACTTTCAACCAAAAAATGGTAATTGGGATCAAGATGGGCATGATAGAATGATCAAGAGGACAACTCATCAAAAAAATGCAACTGTCATCAATATTTAAGTATCCAACACAGGTACACAAAATATATAAATCAACTTTTAACAAGACTTTTGACAGCAATATAATTAAGCAGAAGACCTCATTACAAAACAAATATCAACAGAAAGGTCATCTAGAATGAAAGCAAACAAGGAAATCATGTGACCTTAAATGAAGCTATAGATCAGATGGACTTAATAGACATATACAGAACCTTCCATCCCAAAAGAAATGAATACACATTCTTTTCCATGCACATGGAACTTTCTTGAGGCTAGACAATAAGTTGGAACACAAAACATGTTTCATAAACTATAGAAAATTGAAATTTTTGCATCTTTTCTGATCAGTTAGGAATAAATCACAAAAATATCTTGGGAAAAAATCCAAATACATGGAGATTAAATGAAGTATTTCTGAATAACCCCAAGATCAAAGGATAAATAAAAAACTATCTGGAGTCCAT